TCACCCTCTTCATCGTGGTCATGCTGTACGCGCCGGCCGCCTTGGTCGTCTGCTTCACCTACTTCAGCATCTTCCGCATCTGCCAGCAGCACACGCGGGAGATCAACGAGAGGCGAGTGCGCTTCAGCTCCCAGGAAGGGGAGGCATCCGAGGGGCAGCCGTGCCCCGACAAGCGCTACGCCATGGTCCTCCTGCGCATCACCAGCGTCTTCTACATCCTCTGGCTCCCTTACATCGTCTACTTCCTCCTGGAGAGCTCCTCGGTTTATCACAACCGCCTGGCCGCCTTCTTAACCACCTGGCTGGCCATCAGCAATAGCTTCTGCAACTGTATCATCTACAGCTTGTCCAACAGTGTCTTTCAGAAAGGGTTGAAGCACCTCTCGGGCGCCCTTTGCATTCCTTGCGCCCGGCACCGGGCCGCCAAGGACTCCTCCGCCTCCCGCAGCAAAAGACCTTCTAACGGGTGTCACGCCTGATGGGGGCTTTCTTTCTTTTTTTTTTTTCCCCCCCTCCCCTTCCCTTCGTCCCCGAACTCAGGACGTCCAGATGTGCAAAAAGAAAGACGCTACTGATCTCAAAAAGGACCTGAGGATTTCCACGGGGCTGTGCGCCGGGTTTCTGGGTTCGAGTCCCCGGTGGGAAGCAGGAAACAGGAACGTGTCCATTTTGACCGGGAGCGCAGGGAGGGGGGGGGGGGGAAGGAGAGGGAGGGAAGGGTCTTTCCCTTGGAGTGACTCAATGGATGGTCTCCAATGCCAGCTAAAAGGCCCTCCAGCTGTTTCTCGCCTCTGTGGCCTGCTGTTTGGAGATCTGTGCTCTTTCGTCTCAAGTCCAGGAGTGTGGTTTAAATAGTGTATTCTTTTTGACTTGTTTTGTGCATATGCCAAAGTATGTTTCAAAAAAAAAATCTTATGGGTCCAAATAACGATTTGTCCCCCCCCCCCCCCCCCCCCCCCCCCTCCCACCCCCCACCACCCGCCATGCCCGTAGCCAATAATTCCAATGTCCCCTTTTCTCCTCTTAGGGTTTTTTATAAATGTGGTTATTTCTCTTCTCCCCAGATCCCTTTTGGGACTCCCCCCCCATTCCCCCCCCCAAAACCCTCACCAGGTTGTTCATTTGTGATTTAAAAGTACCGTATTTGCATTTTTCTTAAAAAAAAAAAGAAAAGGAAAAAAAATTTGAAATGTCTGTGTAGTTAAATGAATGACTTTGGAGCAGACCAAAATTAGCAAATGAATAAAAGTGTTTCCTTTTTTTTTTTTTCCTCCCTCGTCTCCTCCTCCTGTTTGTTTCTTTGTTTATTTATTTATTTCATTTCAGCCAGCGGGGAGAGAAAAAAGAATATATATTTATTTTGTCCTTTTCCTTGTTTCCGATTTTGTAGGCAGCCGCTTTGGGCATGAAGTCATTTGTTCCTTGACTTGTTTTGGCTTGTTTTGAAGCAGTTTCTCAAAACAAATTTCTCTCTCTCTATATATATATAGAGAGAGAGAGAGAGAAAGAGAGAGAGAGAGAGAGAGAGAGAATAGATAGATAGATAGATAGATAGATAGATAGATAGATAGATAGATAGATAGATAGATAATGTTAGTTAGGATTTTAGCCAGAGTTTTAAAAAACCTTACAAAGTGTTTTGTTGGGATTTTGGAGGATTTTGAGCTGAGATCTTAGCCAGGATTTTAAGCATTTTAACTAACAGACTTTTAAATGACACGGGAAAACACCTGAGATTTTAACTTTTTACACACACACACACACACGTGTGTGTGTGTGTGTGTGTGTATGTATGTGTATATATATAGAGTGGGGGGCTCCTCCGGGTGCCGTCAGCTAAACTATGTCGACTGGCGGCCCCCAGGGGGAGGGCCTTCTCTGTGGGGGCACCCACTATCTGGAACGAGCTCCCCCCAGAGATACGGAGGATCCCGGATCTGCACACTTTCCGCCGTGCTTTTAAGACTCTCCTATTCCAGCAAGCCGGCCTGGCCTAATTTTCTCCCCTGTTTTAAAATTCTTTTACATCGAAATTTTAATCTGTTTTAAATTATTGGGATTTTTAATTGTCTCGGGCTAAATTATTTAATCTGGTTTTAATTATGTTTTTTAACTTTTGTATCTATGTATTTTATTTTGTGCCTGTTCACCGCCCTGAGTCCTTCGGGAGTAGGGCGGTATATAAATCTAATAAAACAAACAAACATAAACAAAACATATATATAAATGCAAAAAATTAAAATCTCGGGTGTTTTCCCGCATCATGTTAAATAAATTAGTTAAAATGTTTAAAATTCTGGCTAAAATCCTCGCTTAAAAACTTAAGAAGATATATATATATACATACACATATATACATACATACATATATACATACACACATATATTAAGTGTTTTTCTATTGAGACACCTACATATATACGTGTGTATGTATGTATATATATATATATATATATATATATATAAGTTCCTGATCGCTGTGATAAGGAAAGAAAAAAAAAACTTTGGGAGTTAAGGAGATGTTTTTGGTTGGGATCATGATTGAAACCCCGGAAGTTTGGAAATCTGTTGAAAAAAAAAAGGCTTCTCAATTTTGATAGCGATGAAATGCAATATTGTGCGTTTGTGTGTACTCCCCTATCCATTTAAAAAAAAAAGCAGCCAGGTTTTCAACCTGATTCAAATTCTAGTAGGATACGTCTCAGGCACTGCCTGCATTGGGGTGAAAAAAAAATACATTTTTGTATTCAGACTACACTGCTTTGGTTAATCAACCAAGCCATCTCTGCAAAAATACCACTTTCGATCTAGAGAGAAGCTGCTCCCCAATTTCTGGCTCAGAAAGATTTGAGGCTGCTGGATCCGGCTGAGAGTTTTCCAGATGCCGGTAACAACGGGCTACAGCTAAACGGAGGGGAAAATGCAAAGCTATCACTGGCTGCTAGTCCATAAGGTTAATATGGAACTGCTAGGAACAGGAGCAGTCTACCTCCGAATGCCAATTGCTGCAGGGGATTGGTTCTCACGCCCCGGAGGTGGCTTTTCTTCGCCCATTGTTAGAAGAAACAGGATACGGTGCCAAGCTGGGAGTTTCAATTTAAACAAGTTTTCCTTTTTTATTTTTTAAAACTTTTTTTTAAAAAACTTGCCATTTTAAATCCTGCAAATCCTGCTTGCAAAGCCAAACTTTCGCCTCGCCACTTTTTCCATCTTCCTTCTCCTCCCCCCCCCCCCCTATCTCCAACCGCCCCAGAAAAATTTTTAAAAACAAAACCCGGGTCCAAAAAAAAAAAAAAAGGACGGACGGATGTTTTAATTATTTGCTTCCCCGTTGACCGAGCTTTAAAAATCGCAGGACAAGCTTGTCCGTTATTTGCCGTGCTTGAAAAGAACGAGTGTTTTTTGTGCGCGAGATGGGCACATCTCGTGCACAGATGTGAGATTGTCCCCAGGAAGGAAGGAAGGGGATTTTGGGTTGGGCAAAGGGAAAGAAATTTTAACACGGCTGCGAAGACCTTTCAAAACTACATATAACGCCCAGGTTTCGTATAATATAAGCGCTAAAAACGGGGAGAAAATGCATGATGGATTTTGTCTTAAGATTAGGAACCATTTTCCGCCGTTGCATCTTGCCTTAACCTTGTCGGTCCGGATCTCGCCTGTTACAGGGAACACTTTCATAAGTGTCATTTTTTTTTAAAAAAACGTTAAATTTTAGAACTTGGCACGGTCCAGAGCTGTGCTTGGATCCAAACACCAGAAGATTAGCCTGTGTTTAACTGCAGGCATGAGTCGAACGTACTCTGGGTCGGGGGGGAGGGGGGGGGCTTCGTAAATCTGGTTCGGCGGCTAAGATGCTGAGCTTTGTCGTCCTTTGTGTGAGCAGGGGGTTGGACTAGATGACCTGTTGAATGTTTCCTTTCACTCTCCTGGCTGCCCTGGGGAGCAGAGAAGAGACATCGTGTGTGTGTGTGTGTGTGTGTGTGTGTGTATCTATCTGTCTGTCTGTCCCAAAATCTCTCTGCCTTTCGCAGGGTTAGAACCAGCAAACTCGTTGACCGAGGCTAATATTTATCTATGACTTACATTTGATCAAATCCAGGGAGCTTCCATCTTACTCTCAGAGCGATTCCAAGAAATAAGCAAAAGCGCCCCGAATGTTTTTTTTTTATATAAAAGTTTTTTTAAAAAATTTTATTAGACAAACGAACCTACAATACGTAATCGATCATTCGGTGCCTCGTCCGAGTACATCTTTCGTGTCGTCTTCCTACTCCTCCGCCATTTATCGTATCTTAATATTATCAATTTTTTTTGCTTTAATTTATATGCCGCCCTTCTCCGGAGACTCAGGGCGGCTTACAATGCGTTAAGCAATAGCCTTCATCCTTTTGTATATTTATACAAAGTCAGTTTATTGCCCCCACAATCCGGGTCCTCATTTTACCCACCTTAGAAAGGATGGAAGGCTGAGTCGACCTTGAGCCTGGCGAGATTCGAACTTGCAGTAATTGCAAGCAGCAGATGTTAATAACAGTGCATTAGTCCACTGTGCTACCAAGGCTCCTTTGACAGTGATTTGACAGTCACTTATCTGAAATGGTATATAGGGGCTTCTGCTTCAGCAGCGGGTTGGACTAGAAGACCTCTAAGGTCCCTTCCAACTCCGATATTCTGTGATTCAGCCCTACCTAACCCTGGATCACAGGTGTCTTTTGACTGGCATCCATCATGGGCATAGGATGCCGCGATTCAAAAATCTGTAAAAAAAAAAAAACCCCGATTTAGCCAATTTTGCTCCCTTGGTTTTGGAAAGAGGGACTTACCTACCTGCTGTAGGGAGAAAGAGGGTTCTTTTTGTTTGTTTGTTTGTTTTGTTGATTATAACATTTTCTCCCACATTTCTTGCTTTTCTCTTCATGCATCTATCTATCTTCTTTCTTCTTCACTCATTTCATTACAGCATTCCTGATTTTTCTTTTGATACCCCGATGCCAGGTTTGATGCTCGGGGGTGTAACCGTCTCAAACGCAACGGGTCATCCTTTGGGGCGGGGGAGAGAGGAAATCAAAGCTTCTACAGGAGAGGCTGAAATATCCCTCGGATATTTGGATATTCGGGTATCCGGATAGGGCCGAGAATCGAAGTTTTAGAGGCTGAGACCCAAAACAATGGGATTCACCAAGAACAGCCCCAGAAATCCGGTCTCTGAAGATGTCTGTTTGGGTTGTTGTGTTGTTTTGTGGGTTTTTTGTGTGCATTTGTGATGGGGATGGGTTAACAAGCCTTTGTGCATCATTGAAAGCCAGCTGTATTTAGTTGCGTAAAAAAAGAACATTCCGGATGCGTTTGTTTTATACCTGTCGTGGACCAGCTGAAGTATCCCAGCCTTTTAAAAAGAAAATAAATCTATTCGAAGTTTATCTAATTGCAAGGGGGAAAATTAAACAAGCAGTGCTTATTCTACTGGACAGGTAAACGGAGACGAGGAGCCGTTTCAACCATCCATTGTCGTGATTTTTATTTCCTAGGGAGAAATCGTTTTTTTCCTGCGTTGCTAACAACAGAAAGGGCCCCAAAACAGTAAAAAAATAAACCCAATCCCTGCCTTTAATAGCGTAGGAACTTTTTAACACAGAGATTCTTGGGACAATCATTGTGTAATCATCGATTTTTGCCGCCTTCTCAAGAGTCCAGCTTAGTAAGACTTGGGAGGTTTCAGTGTAAAAACAAAACAAAACAAAAAAATATGTGCTTTATTCCTACCCCGGCTCTCGGCTTCCTGGAAACGTCTCTTAAATGCCACCCCATTCTTTACTGGCAGGAATAGATCTGGCGCTTTTGTCCCCAAAAAGGACTCGTGTGTGTTTTGCTTGGCAGGGACGTCTGGAGCGCGAAATGCTTCCATGGTTCTCAGTCTTTTCCTCTGGTCAGCCTGTGGGATACGTCCCCGGGA